TACAAGGTTTGTTTGCAAAATGGAGTCAAGGCCATTTCAATTGTTGGTCTTGATTTAAAAAAGGGCCTACCACAAGCATATTCATATATCATGATAAGGCCTTGGTTGAAAAAGGCCTTATGATGGTAACGGATTAATTTTGGCTAATGACATTTGAGTTTCGAATCCGTTCCCCACCCTAGTGTACTGAATGGGAATTGTGGGTTCGAATCCCACCGGTGCCCTTAGATTTTTTCGCAAATTTTCTCACACACACGTCTCTTACCGATGATATGTGCTTACCTCTCAGTATGTTCAAACTTTCCTATAAACAATTAAATTGACTGCAAAGTCGCTAAACCGTAAATCAAAAATATAGTCAGTAATGTATCACGTTTAACTATTGACATTCTCCAATTTATTTTTAAGCTGCGGCTGAAGAACTAGATAAGGAAGAACATGGGGAGCACTTGGAGACGCTTGACGCTGCAAATATGTCAGTTGCGCGATACGAGGAGGTATCCCATCGCAGTATCTCATTTCAAAGCTTCAACGTTTCCTTTGCCAACATTCGTTCTTCAATGCCAATGAAAACTTTTCTGGATCCACGATGGTCAGTGGCTCTAGATTTATCTCGTACCATGACCAACAATGAGTCACTTTTAAATTTTTCGATGAGAGACGGTGACTTGGATGTGTCCTCTGAACCGTTGGATCTTGTGGTTACTACAGCAATTCAAGACCAACAATTGAAATGGCCTTAACTCCATTTTGTAAACAAACCTTGTAAAGACATTTTCTCGCAAACCGAAATCTTCATTCGCAAACTTAAACCACAATCGGGTAGAGGAGAATTTCCCCTTTATGTTCATTATGTTGGTTTGCCTTTGCGGAATTCGGTTCGCGAGAAAACGGCCTTACAAGGTTTGTTTACAAAATGGAGTTAAGGCCATTTCAATTGTTGGTCTTGAATTGAAAGCGCTATCAGACTCCTCCTGGCTGCCCTATAAATTAAAAAAAATACCAGATCTTGTGGTACCGGAAAACAAATTCGACCCCGAGAATACAGAGGCAGTTGCAATATCATGCAATGTGGATCAGTTCGACAGTCGATGCGATCCTCTGAACATCTCTTATAGAGAATTAGTCCAACCCTTGTGTAATGTGGAAAAACGTGTCGGTGTCATCAACAATGAAACCAGAACTCCTGCAATCTCAGTCGCTTCTGATGCCACAGAAGGTGGCCTGGTCGGCGAAGCTCATGGAAGTGGTCCTAGAGTTAATCTGACTCGTAGTGAAATCATGGGCATTAAGCAAGGCACAGGACAGGCGAATAATTCAAATTGTGACCCTGCTTCTTCTGATAGCTCTGAATCAGACAACGGCGATGATAGTAAGTTTGGAGATGCCACCATGATGAATGACTTCTCTATCGAATATTTTGAACCATACCGCAACGAATCCATAATTGGATTCAATGAATATGCACCTGATGAAAATGTTGAATCAAATGCTAAGCACTTTACATATTCGTTATTACAAAATTAATTACTAGTTTATATCTTTACGCGAATATTTCGTTAACCGGAAACGAAACAGAGAAAATCATCGAAAATCAATCGAAAAAGATACGCTATTCAACAGGTAAGTGATGTAGAATATCAACAGTACACAAGTGCAAAGTGTAATTTTTTGTTTCCGCCACATCCAATCTTTCCCTGAGTACACATCCCATTACGGCTGTGGCAAATCATCTAAACTGTATCTGAACGCCGATCTCAATATTACGAAAATTTACGATATGCATTGTACAAAATGCAAGGCTGACTCCATCAAACCTGTACACTACAATACATATAGATTAATATTCCGCTCCTTCAATCTCAGCTTCCGGAAACCAAAGGCCGATACGTGCAGGGAATGTGACAAATTCAGTGTCAAAATCAAGCATGCCACCAACGAAACCGAGCTGCAATCACTGAAGCAATCACAGGAGGAACATCAGTTGAAGGCTAAACATGTCTACGAAATAAAAAAAGCGGATGTAATGGATGCCAAGAAAGACGACGGAGTTGTAACGATTTCTTTCGATTTGCAGAAGTGTATACCGACACCTCACTTGACGTGTGGACAAGCGTATTACAACAGGCAGTTGTATACGCTAAATTTAACAGCATTCGAGACGAACCGGGGAAAGAATCTGGCTTACTGCTTTTTGTGGGACGAGTCAAAGGCACGTCGTGGCGCACAGGAAATCGCCTCGTGCATTTTTAGCTACGTGCGATGCTTTGTGAGTGATGCTGAGTCAAACAGAGAAGTTCCGATCCGCCAGGTGATCTTATTTTCCGACAGGTGTGGTGGCCAGAACCTAAATTTTGTGATGGTTATTATGTTCGCCATCTGCAAAAATGGTTGACTGCAGAAGGCAATAATATAATCATCACTCATAAATTTATGGTCTCTGGTCACTCGCACATGGAAGTCGATTCCGTGCACGCTGCCATTGAAAGAGCTAAGAAGACAAAAACAGCATGGATATAGAGACTCCCCGAGATTGGGCGGTTTTTATATCGCAGGTGCGCAGGCGAGTTCCCTTCGTTGTAAAGGAGTTTAGCCAATCTGATTTCCTGGCTGTTAAAGAATTAGAGCACCGCTACAAACGCCCAAAATCGAACGTGGCTGGACAACCACTCCAGTTTAAGCAAATTATGATATTCGAGTACCGACCAACAGCGATGGGAAGGGTGTTTTATAAGATTGACCCAAATGATGAGTGTTTCCGGGAATTCGTCATAGCTTCAGAAGATGATTTGCGTCAAACACCCCTTCCAGTCCTCACACCAATCACTACGACACCGTTGCCTCTTCCACAAGCAAAACTAGAGGATTTAAAGAACCTTCAACCGTACATAAACAACAAGGCGTACTAAATATGAGACGCTTTTGAAGAACTTAGTGCCTGCCAAGCGAGGATGAAAAAAGCAATCCGGCAAAGAATACCATTTCGAAGACGATCTGGATGTTCAGGAAGCCGATGATGAGGAGGTTCCATAGTGATTTCCTATTTGTTCAATAAAACTGCATTTGTCTTATCCAAATTGACTTATTTTTTCTCATTCAATCAATTTTTTTCACAATATTATCCTAACATAAAACCGATTTTATTAGTGATTACATCACAATGCAAACAGCGCCCTTAACAGCGATCAACCTTCAACGCCGGAGTCCAGCCCATATAGAACCGTTCCTGATGCTATCTTAGCGACACACGGTCCTGGAAACTCCTGTGGCAATCCTCGCATTAATGGCACCGTTCGTCGTTAACAGCTTACAAGCCCTGCTGAAACGTTTCGAGCAAACGCAGAAATTCTTCTCATCCGTAGACTCCCGTTTGTGACACATCAGCAGTAAGCTATAGCTACACTAAATGTCCAAATATTGAAACAAATGTACTAGCACATTTTATATAAATTTGTCATTAGAGTGGTCCTATGAAATCCATCTTTTGCCAATAACTTTTTTATTTGAAATTTATCATGAAAGTCATCTTCTAGAGACTTTTAAAACTCTTTAAGACGAATGTTTTATAGCTGAATTTGTTGCCTGTATCTCTTCTAATAAAAAAGATATAGTCAAATATAGTAAAAAATATGAATAAATTCAAATTGATTTTATACGAGTTTAAAAAATAACATACCTCCAGTTTTTTCATATTATTGAGAATAACATACGCCCTTTCAAATGCTGCAAAAAAACTTTTTTTTTGTTTGCCCCAACCAGAGATATTAACATTTGAAAAGTGCATAATTTTAGTATAAAAAAAATCAATAACTCTTGATCGGCGAAAGATATTGGCAAGCTTTGTGCAGCAAAAATTTGCGCCTTCTTAAGATCTAAAAGTTATCTGAAGACACCTTTGCTGAGAAATTCGAAATAAGAAAAATAGAGCAAAAAAACTGTTTTTTTGAGAGCCACCCTAACTCAATTCAAGAAAATAGCTCTAAATTGGCCAATTTAAGAGATACAAAAAAGTTATTTTCACCACAGTTGCTTGAAATTAGCTCAGCTATAACTTTGCCGAAAAATGTATTCCTTAATTTATTCAAACAAAAAAGTTAGATTTTTGATTTTAATGATAATAGGAACCACCCTAGAATTCAATGTCATAAAAATGAGGGCCTAACTATAAGGAACAACTTTGTAGAAGAGACTTTTAGTCTAAAGTTTCAATTTCAGGCTCAAAACATGTCATTCCAGCTAAATGTGCATTCTGGACCACTGTGCAGTGAATGAAAAATTGTTTTTTTAGCTCACTGGCAGGAGCACCATTAGGTTAAAACATGAATGTAAATTGATTTAAATTTGAAACAATAAAGAGTTTAAAAAGGAAAAGATCTGCTTGTTGAAAGGTTTCTGCAACGATTGATTAATTCTGCGGTTTAATTGGGTTATAACAGCGATTCATGGCTTACCACAATCTACGGTAATTCTTGAGTTACATTTCTAACAAAATTGGCCGGATTTGAGTACACTGAACTATTTCCATTAAATCGGAATGTGTCCAGTCTGATTGGTTCGTCATTGGGGATCAACCAAACGCACCAAATTCAGCATACCCTAACACTCTGTGGATGAAACAAATTTCACAATCTGCAAAAACTAAACACCCAAAACCCATTGACCAAAGCCGTTAGATCACTCGATCACGGTTCATGAATTGTGCATCCGCGTGAACAAAACTCTCACCCATGATTGCATTCTCTTCTCTCCATTGTGAAGCAATTGTTGGCCGAGTTCTATATGATTCAAAAGAACGCCCAGTCAACTTAGTGCGCAATGATGGCGGATGATGATGACGGATGGTCATCTGACCCGGACCGGCATTGATGGTGCCCTCTCTTCCCTATGTTACCTACGTCAATATGGAGCGCAATTCGGTGGCCAGCAAGCAGAGTAGAGGGTTGACGATGATGAATGAAAGCTCCGGCCGGTCAGTATCCATTCGATGATCGAGCCGTCAACACACGCGTGAAAGTGTAACAGCCTACAACGTTTTTTTTTTTGGTTGTTTAGTGAAAAGAATAGAACCGTGTGATTTATGCTGCTAGTCGGAATCAGATCAATCGGTCGAAGAGGACAGCATGCAGCCTATTTGTCGATGAAAGGGAAGAAAGCGCGGGTACCATCATAGGACAACAGACCGCAGTTGTTCTCGTTCTTGTTCCTTTCTCTGTTCGGTAACTGATCTGGACGTGCCTTTTTAGAAGCGAGAAAACGTGAATGACAGTAACAACGACAACCAGTGGTGTGTGACCAAATAAAAAAAAATACGTGAGAAGTGCAGGGATTAAATGGTTGCGTGATTTTGGTTAAGTGAACCCGTATAATTTTTGTCACCGACGACGACGACAACGAAGGGAAAGAATGAGAGAAATGTGACAAAAAAAAAACGTGTCGAAAGGGAATAATTGTAAATGAAAACTGTTGAATGGTGATTAATTACGGAGATCCACTTCCTTCCGACGATAGCAGAAGAATTGTAACTGAAAATAATGTGGTGGCCCATGACATAAAAAGTGACCAAATCAATCTAAATAAATTAAGTTATTAAGATACTGTGATAGCATTTTATATTCATCACCCAAAATACAATATAGAGATCGCAGCCAATTTAGAATCACTACCGCTAAAACAGGTGAGCTCATTTTACATCATTAAATCAAAAATCTTCGCCCGTTGTAATAATCCTTAAATGGTATGCCAGCTTGCAATTTAGAGTTATTTGAAAACATCCACTTAGCATTAGAAACTTAAATTATTATAATTATTATAATAATTCAACATAGCAAAATAAGGATTTTTGATTATTCAAAAAACTCTGTTCACAATTCCTGCATTGCACAGCGGTTTAATCCTCTATTATGCAACCAGCTCATACTACAATAAAGCGTAAAATTTAAGTGGTGTAATGATCAGAAACAATTTTATTTTTAATAAGATAACTAAAAACAATTGGTTAAAATTTCGAATTGTCTTCAAAAATGTCCAAAGATTTGTTTTTTTTTTCAGAGTGTAATTGTATTTGTTTTATGTATAGGCTGTGCGAACCGCTAAGTTGGCTTATCTAGGGTTTACCCCCCTAATTTATACAACTACTGTCCTTCCCGTTGCACTCGTCAGCCCGTGCGATACTCTAGACACACATGGGTGGTCGTATTCGGGTCCTTTCCTGGGTAGGATCGTATGTCCATCCAAGTTCTGGTACATTAACTTATCTCTATGCAATACTTTACAACTCACCTTTTGATTATAATATCGATAATGCTGAAACTATATGAAGGTTAGTGATCATTATTAGGGGTGTGCTGCGATGGAGTAGTAATTGAAGGAAATGAGGTTCTTAGGTGGATTATAGGTAATTCTAAAATAGGTAAATCATGCAAGCACACACCTTTTACAATTCTTATCCTACTTACCAGTTCCCTTCCAGTTTTTGACGTTTTTCACTTTTGTTCATAAAATAGTACTTTTTTAGGTAAACTTTCGAATGAAAATAGAAAAACATGTTATTTGTTTTGGGCTTATTTAAAAACAACATCAAGTCTAATTGTCCCATGTTGAAATTCTACGCATAACTGTCCCACAAAGAATTTTTTACTGAATCTTTTATTAACGAATCGATTTGAGTGCACGAATGATTGAAACAGGATTTATATGATCAAAAGAAACTCAATGAGTCATTTCGGGAAGTAGAAGCTTTATTTTATGATGAAAAATAGAAGTAGAAGCTTTATTTTATGATGAAAAACATTAAGAGAAACAGGAATTCATATTAAAACACCAGATTATAGTTCAGATTTCAAACTGCGCATTATTACAGTAATAATAATAAATTGATAAGCAGCAGTATAATGGTCTCAAAATAAACCAAAGACAAAATAACATGATTTAAAATTCAATTGTATGTAGCAACGATGTATAAACATCTTCCAATATTGGTATGATTAAAAAAGTACGTATTATTGTCTAAAACAACTCGACGCAACGCAGATAACAATGGTGGCACTTTCTGTCACGTGATGTCTTCATTCATCAAGTTGATAGCTGCTACCTTTTTTTGTAGTTAAAATAAGGTTCCTGTTGACTGATTCAGAAAATCCGTTGTCGTATCGTCCTTCCGTAAATTGAGTTGATAGAATGTTGCATTTGGTTGAATATAATGAAATCCTTACTGTGTATGTTAACTTTTCCAAAGTCTTTCTTGAAATCATCGATCGACAATTTTACTGTGTTCTGCACAGAGCATTCATCATTTGTTTCTGAAGATGCCCATACTTATAGCATACTGCGCTTATAGGCTTTATATATGTAGCGAACGACGATTGCAGCAATGTCAACTCAGTTATTGTTGGTTTCAGTTAATGATGCACACCTATGCAAACTATCCACTTTCAAAACTTCACTGAGAACTCAAGCACGCTCATGTAAACACAACCACAACCACAGCACTATCAGATATCAGGCGGTCAAAAATCAAAAAATCGACTTTCGCTAATCCTTATTTCGTTATTTTTGGTCGATAGTAAACATTTCAACTAAGAGAATCTGAAAGTTTCAAGCTTCTAGCAGTTTTAGTTTCTGAGATATCGGATGTCGAAGTCAAAAAAGAGTAAGAAAAGTACAAATTTTGCCGCAAAAATACACTACCACTCAAATATAATTTCATCCACTATTTATCATATAACTACCACATCATTATACATCGTTGGAAAGGTAATTTAATAAGCTTTCCGAAAATAAAATCCATTTGGAAATTTGATGGAGACAAAATAAATTAAAAATTAAAATAGAAAAAAAATTATTGAAAATTAATGAAAATTTAACTTTATTGATCACAAACTTTCGAGTCTCGCACATTCCCAGGCTAATTCTCAGCTCTGGATGAAGTTTTGAGTGTACTCTAACAAGTACTGAAGAGTTTGCCAGCCCCAACCTGCCCCATTGGAAATATAAGCGATTTGAAAGTTTTCGGTTATTATGGGAGATTTCAAATTGTACAAGAGCCGGCTTGGAAACAAACTTTTTCAACAATTATTTTGCAACTTTTGGAGTTATATTCGGTTGGTATAGTCGAAATATATTGTTAAAGAACATTTTCTAATATTTCATGACCAACTTTTAAAAAGGGCCTAAGCTTTTGTACAAAAAGAAGTCATCATTATCATAAAGTTCACTGTTGGATGAACGTAAAACTACATTCGTTTATGCTTTATTCTAAAGTAAGTACCTGGGTTATGACGATTATAGAAGCATATGCGTAAGTATGTACCTACGCATATGCGCGGATGGGTTTAATTTATACCTAAGTCTGTACTTAACCTACTGTAGTATCAATTTGAAGCCATAGTGTATTTTGTGTAGCTTTTATTTAAACTACTACAGTGTAATTCAAATATACGGTTGAGACCAAGTGTGAGCATGGATAATAGAACCATTATTAATCTATTAGACGCAAAATTAAGCCATAGTGACAATGTTCACAGAGCCATTGAATTCATTTGTGAAAATTATAACATCTCGGTGGAAAAACGTAAACGTCTCGATGAAAAGATCCATAAAATCGTTACTAAATACATCAACAAATGGCATGAAGCTAATCGCACGAAAGAGCGATTTGAGTCGTATTTTCGGAATTGACTTGATGGAGAATTTGGCATCGAGGAATTCATCGAACAGGAGCAATGTGTTGCCTCAACCTCGGCCTAGGGAACAAAACGTGGACGACCTTCAAAACCTTTCATGGATTTGAGTGAAAGAGGAAAACGCCGCGTCATCGATAAAGAAGCAGTTGATCAAAAATTCGATACCATCGAGAAAGCTTTGTTATTTGCAAGACGGACCGCTTATAATCGAAAGGATTTTAATTTAGTTAAAGTTATTGGGCATATTTAAAAAAAAAAACCAAAAAAGCTCTAAAACCATGCTGACCTTACGGATCAACCAGACTCAACTAACTGATCAACGAGGAATGATGTCACCAGAAGAGGCTTTTAGTGTACTTATCGAGGCTGGATTGAGTAGATTTCAATACGAAGTAATACATAGTGAACCACCTTCAAGATTTCCACCTTACTATGTGATCGGAGCAGTGAAAAAAAATATGCGCCCCTCCTAGTGAATTCATCGAAGAAAGTGCATTGAAAATAAGAGTGAAACTCCAGGCGCTGATGGAAAATACAGTGAAACGAATCGTCCAAATAATTGATGCAGAGCTCAACGAGTATATGGATAGCAACGATCTAGTTTCTACGGAACTGGTTCTTCTATGTAGCTGGGGTATGGACGGATCAACTGGATATTCGCAATATCATCAAGTGCTACCAGAAGGATGTCAGGACGATTCAGATGTATTTTCGTCCACTTTAACACCAATTCAGTTGTTCATGTACAATGATCGAAAGGAAATTATGTGGTTTAATCCCATGCCTCAAAGTATTCGATTTTGTAGGCCATTCATCCTTGAATTCATTAAAGAGAGTAAAGAAGTTATTCTGGCTACAAAACAGGATGTAGAAAAAGAAATGAGTGAACTAACGCCAGTGAAAATTGAACTTGATTTTGATTTTGTCCTCAGTATGATAGACGGAAAAGTCTTAACTTATATCACTGGAAATTCGTCGATGCAGAATTGTACAATATGTGGGGCAACACCAAATGTAATGAATGATGCAGAGAAATTCGAGGAAGGATTTATATCAAACGAAGAAGCCTTGCATTATGGCATATCTCCACTTCATGCTTGGATAAGATTTTTCGAATGCCTTTTGCATATTGCATACAGAATGGATATCAAAAAATGGAAGGTAACGAAACCGTTGAAAGAACTATATGAACAAAGAAAAAAAACATGTGACGACACAGCTTTACGAAAAATTTGGAGTAAGAGTAGATCAACCACGATCGGGTGGAGCAGGTACCAGTACTACAGGAAACGTTTGTCGAAGAGCATTTGGAAATCCCAAGCTTTTAAGCTCCGTGCTGAACATTGATGAAGAGTTAATTTTCAGATTCCGGAATATATTAATTGCTATTAACTGTCAAGAGCCAATAAACCCGGAAAAATTTTATGCATATTGCAAGGAAACATATAGGCTCTATCTTAAATTGTATGATTGGTACAAAATTCCGGCAACCGTGCATAAAGTTCTCGCTCATGCCGGAGAAATAATCATACATTCACCAGCACCACTTGGTTCATTAGCGGAAGAGGCAGCAGAAAGTCAACATAAACAATTGAAAAAACATCGAACCAATCATGCAAGAAAACGATCAAGAGTAGAACATTTACATGATGTCTTTATTCGTGCCATTAATGAATCGGACCCACTGATCAGTTCCATTTGGATGGCAAAAAGACGACAGACAAAAGTATCCCTGGATTATCCCGACATCGTGAAAAGTTTCATGATATTTGAAAATTCTGTAAGTGATTCAGTAGTCGATACTAATAACTTCAATGCCTTGGAGGAACTTATGAAAGCAGTCGATGAAATTGAAGAAGAATTTGTTCATGATGATATTGTAACAGAGGAATAAAAAGAAATTCGTTGAAACATATTTGATTTTGATTATTGTATCATGGCTTTTTGTATATTTTTTACAGAAGATTTGTTGAAAAAAATAAACATATTTCCA